GGAGGAGAACCTCCACGTGTTGGAGGAGAACCTCCACGTGTTGGAGGTGCCGTTCTGCTCAGTCTGGATCAAGCGTAGAGAAGCTTTCGTTTCCTCTCAGCTCTTTAACGTTTCCTGATCTGTGGAAGGCTCAACTTCCTGTTTGTGAGGAGGTGTTTCCCTGAGACGCTGCTCGTTAACAAGCTGTTCCTCTCCTTCCCTCAGGACCAACTCCGACTCAGCCCTCCACACCAGCGTGATGAACCCCCCCACAGGAGACCCCTTCACTATGGGAGGACCTGCCCTCACCCCCCAGAGTAACAGACGCAGCGGTGAGGCAGCACACACACGGTGCTCAAACATCAGCTGATCTGAAAACCCTGAGGCTCAGGTCAAAGTTCAAGGTTCCTTCTTGTCATTGACATCACGTGTGGTACATGAGGTGGAATGAAACTTTTGTTCACTTGGTCCCAGTTACATCCAAAAATAGCAGAAATATAAAGTGTAAAAAGAAACGGTATTCAAGGATCTAAGATATAAATTAAATAAACGACGCCAAACAATGAGAGAGAGAAAGTCCGTACCATCTTAAAGTTGGTGTTTTCTGGTTTAATTCACCGTGATGTTCGTGTTCAGCTGCAGTCACGTGAACGAACGTGGACTCACCAGCTGAAACAGACACAGCTCCGTCCTCGCGGTTCTTTGATGAAGAGTCCGGTCGTGGAGAAGATGAACTGGGTCGTTCATGTTCTCTAACACAGGCCGACTGTAACGCTGGGGGGGCACTCCTCTGTCCTTGAAGACAAACACGGAGAAGCTTTCTGCTCGTAAATTGAAGACGTTCGACAACACACGCTGCGCACGTGAACCCCGTCTGTGTGCGTCGCCAGCACCATAGACACACAGCTGTACAGCAGCTCTATACAGCTCTGGGTGTAAACACGTAGTCTGTTTGTCATATGTCTATGTTTCACCTGCCTGCGTGCTGAAACCACGTGACACGTTACAGCCAATACTGAAACTTGACACTGAAAGAAGAGCGACGTTTCAATCCGTGCACCGACCGGTGCAGTTCTGTCGGTGCCGTAACACAACTGAGGGTCGTACTCAGCCCTACCCCACGTCGTTGTCAGAACACCACCTGGACACCCCGCGGTTAAACCACGACATACAGCTAAACGTCATCGCTGGTCAGGTTGGGGAGGGGGCCGGAGAAAACTACGGAGTCCCACATGGTTTTAGCAAAGTCACACACCGAAGCAACGTTAATTTTAGTGACCTCCGATCGGCGTAACCGGGTGTCATTACCGCCGACGTGAACAACAGTCTTACCGTATTTAACCTTAGCCTTAGTCAGCAGTTCTAAAGCATAGAAAAAGAAAAGTAAATAAAATTAATTGTATAAAAACGAAACAAAACAGCTGCATTATGAAGCGATGTAAAATAGTAAAAACAGGAACATGTCTGCGCTGGTTGTTGCCAAGAACTTAGATGTTTAAAACCACTCGGAGAGTCAGGGTCAAGTTGTTTTTTCATATGCAGGTCAACAGAACAATGATGCTCAATCTGACTCGTTAAAAAACAAAGAACAAGCAACAATATACTAAAGCACGCAAGAAGGGTTCAAAATGAAGTACCAAAAAGTTGAGATTAAATGTAATATTTACAAGGTCCTGAAGAGAGAGAGTAAACAACAACATGGTAGAACGAGTCGGCGCGGAGCTGTCATCAGTGCGGCCGCTCTACGGCGCTCGTGATGTCACCATACAGAGGTCAAAGGTCGAGAGCCTCAGGTCTTTGTACAAGATGTTCCAGGAAACAGGAGCGGAGTAGGAGAAGGTCCTTTTGTCTAGTTCAGTCCTCACTGAGGGAACACTGCAGGTAATGATGTCCTGAGAGCGCACGCTGTAGCTGCACTCACACAGAGACATGTAGGAGGAGATGTATGAAGGCAGCAGACCAGGAAGTGATTTAAAGATGAAGATGTACCAGTGAGAGAGTCTGTGTGGAGTTAATGATGACCAGTTAACCAGTGAAGTTAATGGTGACCAGTTGACCAGTTAAGTTAATGGTGACCAGTTGACCAGTGAAGTTAATGGTGACCAGTTGATCAGTGAAGTTAATGGTGACCAGTTGACCAGTGTTATTCTAATAAACCTGCTGGTTGTGTTTTGTGCTGCAGGTCAGAGCGACGGAGAGAGCCGAAGAAGTGAGTAACATGAAGTCTGGTGTAGTTTCTAAGTTAAGTTTTGTTTAAAACAAGTCTCTTGAAAATGAGAGACAGACCAACATCCTGACTGGCTGACTGGCTGGCTGGCTGGCTGACTGGCTGACTGACTGGCTGGCTGGCTGGCTGGCTGGCTGACTGACTGGCTGGCTGACTGGCTGGCTGACTGGCTGACTGACTGGCTGGCTGACTGGCTGGCTGGCTGACTGACTGGCTGATCGATGGATCCACCATCCTTAACTTCTCATTTATTATGGTTTACTAGTTGAGAATATTTGTGTAAATTAAATTGTTGTCTCTTTATTAAACAAAAGCAAAGTCTGGTTCCAGTCCTGCTGCTTCCACGGGATCTCAAAGGTCCTGTTTCAGCCAGGAGATCAGCTGATCCTCATCGGTGGAACCACAAACATGTTCCAGAGAATTTACTGACGTTTAGCGTCCAGAACGGCTCTAAATCCACTGAATTAACCAGAACCTTTGAGTCTGGACTGTGGGAGGGAACATGTGAGAAGGAACCTTCCATCCATCCAACATCTTCCTCTTGTTCTGGACTCAGGTCTCGGGGGCAGCATCTTGAGCAGGGAGGTCCAGACATGTCTCTCCACAGCCTCTTCCAGCTCTTCTGGGAGGACTCCAGGGTGTTCCCAGACCAACTGAGAGACGTAGTCTCTCCAGAGTGTCCTGGGTCTTCCCTGGGGTTTCCTCCCAGTTGGACATGTCCGAACCACCTCCCTAGAGAGACGCCCAGGGAGCATCCTTACCAGATGCTAAGTACCTCACCTGACTCAGCTCAATGTGGAGGAGCAGCGGTTCTTCTCTGAGTCTCTCCTGATAACTGAACTTCTCACCCTGTCTCTAAGGGAGAGTCCAGCTACCCTGCAGAGGAAACTCATCTCAACCTCCTGTATCCACAATCTCATTCTTTCAGTCTCTACCAGAGTTCATGACCAGAGAAGAGGGGAGGAATGAAGACCGACCAGTAAACAGAGCTTTGCCTTACAGCTCAGTTCCCTCTTCACCACAATGGACCATAACAGAGTCCACAATACTGCAGATGCTGCACCAATCCGTTTGTCAATCTCACGCTCCATTCTTCCCTCACTCATGAACAAAACCCAGAGATACTTGAACTCCTCCACTTGAGGCAGAACCTCGCCCTCAACCCAAAGAACAATCCACCCTTTTCTGACTGAGGACCATGGCCTCAGATTTGGAGGTGCTGGTTCTCATCCCAGCTGCTTCACATTCAGCTGTGAACCGCTCCAGTGAGAGCTGAAGATCACGGCACGATGACGCCAACAGGACCACATCATCTGCAAAGAGCAGAGATGAATCCTGAGGCCACAGAACTGGACTCCCTCCCCCCCCCCTGGCTGCACCGAGAAGTTCTGTCCATAAAAGTTCTGAACAGAATCAGTGACAACGCGCAGCCCCAATTCAGGAACACACCTTGTTTGGGGTGTCGGGGAGCTGTACCCATCTGTCCTCCTGTTGCCCCCGTCCCTGCAGGGTGTCAGAGATGTGTCCTCCTCTGTCATTGTTGTAGGATTTGTTCTTCTTCATCCTGTGGAGCAGGACAGCAGCTCCCCGGCTTCTCTGCAGTCCTGTAACATCAAACTGACCCAATTTTGAACTGGACTAAAACAGTCTGGTTTTGCTTCCAACTGACTTTAGTACTCAATGGACTCAGAGAGCCAAATGGAACCGCCCGGGAATTTTGGGTCCAGGATCACTTCCAGCCCATGGGTCATTCTGAGCGCTGCTTGCCGGCCAGGTCACCTCTCGAGCGGGGAGACATTGTCTGAAGGTACGACGTTTTCCTTCAGATTCCACCTGGACTGTTCATCTGGACCTCTGTGGTCTGATTGATTCCGACCGGGTCTACTGTATGGTTTTGTGCTGGATTACTGTCAGACCAGTTTTCCTTGTGGGTGTCTTGCTGTCAGCTGTGGGGGAAGTTGACCCGAGCTGGATCAGAACAGAGCTGGCCAGAACCAAGCCAGTCCCAGCCTCAGTGGTCAGCCTGATCCTTGCTCACCGAATGACCGGCTCTCTCCGTGAGCGTCTGCTGTTGGCTGTGGGGAAGTTTGATGGATCTGGACCAAAACCAAGCCAAGGATGGCTCCAGCCTCTACGGTCAGTCTGACCACTGCTCGCCTGTGAGCAATCCTATCATGCCAGGAAGCGCTGTGGAGGAGCTTCTTGAAGGACCGGCATCTGCATCAGAGTTCTGCTGATCTTCCATCTGCACTTACCTGGATTAATTTGGATCTGTATGGGCTCACCGATTCTTAACTGGTCAGGTGAAGGATCTGTTCTGGCTCACGCTGTTGGTCTCGTCAGATTCTGAACCCGTGAAGGGCTTTACCTAATGGGTTTTCTTTCACCTGGATCAGATCTCTGTTAACCCGAACCGAGCCAGAATTGTGCCTTCCAGAACGAGTGGTCTTTCTGGAAGCCCGCTCCATACATTGACGTGGATTACCTGTTTCTGCCTGTTGGTTCTGGACCCAGCTTCTGTTCAACATGAGAGCAGCTGGAGCAATCTGTCTGCTCCGGGGTGCTTGAGCACTTCTCAGCCCAACTCAAACTGCAGTTTGATCGCCATGCTGGGCTTATTGGTCCACTAGAACCACAAAGTTGTCTGGCCTGCAACCATCAACTGTGTACTCCTCATTTTCAGAACTTCGACTATTTGGAGTCGTTGAACCTTGTTAATGCGTCCAGTTCTGCCCATCCCGGCCAACTTCATTGTTTTGGGTTCTAAGTCACCATGTTTTCATGGATCGTTTATGGGGGCCAAGTGCCACAATATTAACTCCTGTAACTACACATCTGCCACAAAAAGCACAAGGAAATGAATAATAATAATAGTATTGTTATTCTTGTCCAGGATCCAGTCTACCCCCCCCCCCCCCTCACAGTACAGCTCACCAAATGATTTTAAACCATGTCAGGACTACACTTTTGCATGTTAATGTGCGTAGCCTTCCTCGAAAAATGGGTGTGCTGAGGATTTGGGTCTGTTCATCTGGTGCTGATGTAATCTTTATTGCTGAAACTTGGTTATCCAAATCAATTTGGATAAAGATGTGGCAACTGATGGATTTGAAATCCTGGCAATAAACATTACTTTGCATGGAGCCCAGATCTTTTCTGTTGTGGGCTGTTACCGCCCCCCACCCCTCAGCAACCCCTGAGGCTGTGTCCTCTTTGACAGAGCCTCTTGTCCTGATCCTGGTTCTGCTGGAGGTTTCTTCCTGTTAAAGGGAGTTTTTCTTTCCACTGTCTCCACTGTGCTTGCTCAGGATGAGAGACTGCAACGAAGCCAAGATTCAACTTGTCTGCTGGATTCTTAGATAGAGAACTTTACTAACTGGTTTTTATATGTACAGTGAGTAAAATCAGTATTTGAACATTCTGCGACTTTGCAAGTTCTCCCACTTAGAAATCATGGAGGGTCTGAAATGTTCATCTTAGGTGCATGTCCACTGTGAGAGACATGATCTAAAAAAAATCCAGAAATCACAATGTATGATTTTTAAATACTTTATTTGTGTGTTATTGCTGTAAATAAGTATTTGAACACCTGCCAATCAGCAACAGTTCTGGTACTCAAAGACCTGCTAGTCCTCCTCTAAAAAGTCCACCTCCACTTCTTATTCTAAATCAGAAGCACCTGTTTGAGGTTGGTAGCTGCATGAAGACACCTGTCCACCCCACAATCAGTAAGACTCCAACTACTAACATGGCTAAGACCAAAGAGCTGTTCAAAGACACCAGAGACTAAATTGTAGACCTCCACAAGACTGGAAAGAGCTACGGGGCAACTACCAAGCAGCTTGGTGAAAAAAGATCAACTGTTGGAGCAACTATTAGAAAATGGAAGAAGCTAAACATGACTGTCAATCTCCCTCGGACTGGGGCTCCATGCAAGATCTCACCTCGTGGAGTATCAGTTTTCTTAAGAAAGGTGAGGAACCAGCCCAGAACTACACGGAGGAGCTGGTCCATGACCTGAAGAGAGCTGGCACCACTGTTTCCATGGTTACTGTGGGTAATACACTAAGACGTCATAGTTTAAATCATGCATGGCACCAAGGTTCCCCTGCTTAAATCAGCACACGTCCAGGCCCGTCTGAAGTTTGACCATGACCATTTGGATGATCCAGAGGAGTCATGGGAGAAAGTTCTGTGGTCAGATGAGACCAGAATAGAACTTTTTGGTCTTAATTCCACTCGCCGTGTTTGGAAGACGAAGAATGATGAGCACCATCCCAAATACACCATCGCTACTGTGAAGCATGGAGGTGGAAGCTTCATGCTTTGGGGGTGTTTTTCTGCACAAGAGACAGGACGACTGCACTGTATCAAGGAGAGGATGACCGGGGCCATGTGTTGAGAGATTCTGGGGAACAACCTCCTTCCCTCAGTTAGAGCATTGAAGATGGGTCATGGCTGGGTCTTTCAACATGACAATGGCCTGAAGCTCACAGCCAGGAGAACCAAGCAGTGGCTCCGTAAGAACATATCAAGGTTCTGGAGTGGCCCAGCCAGTCTCCAGACCTAAACCTTATAGAAAACATTTGGAGGGAGCTCAAACTCTGTTTCTCAGTGACAGCCCAGAAACCTGCTGATCTAGAGAAGATCTGTGGAGGAATGGACCAACATCTCTGCTGCAGTGAACCTGGTGAAGAACTACAGAGAACCTTTGACCTCTGTAACTGCAAACAAAGATACTGTACCAAATATTAACAGTGATGTTCACAGGTGTTCAAATACTGATTTTCCTCACTGTGTGTGAATGTTCCTGTAAAGTCCCTGAGACAACTTTGCTGTGATTTGGCGCTTTATAAATAAACTGAATTGAATTTTTGACGTACTTCCTAACAAATTTACAATTCAATGAAATACTCCTTGCTGGTGAGTTTAATGCAGATTGGAAACTTCAGAGCCCACTTAGTGAAAAATTTAAAGAATGTTGTTTGTCACAACTGCACCCAAATTATTGATGCCCCCACCAGACCAAAGAAGCTGATAGATCGTCCATATGGGACCTCTTTTTAACAAATACGCCCCTTAAATTTCTTGGGTGTGTGTTTTTGCAGATATGAGTGACCATTGCCTTATTGGAGTTATCAGGGACACTAAATTACCTCACTTTAAGCCTAGACTAGTTCAAACATGAGATATGAAACATTTTAGTGGACAGGCCTTCCTTTGTGACCTGTCTCATTCTGATTGGCAACGTATTCTCCTAATTGCTTATGTGAACACTTCCTAGAACTATTTTCAGAATAGTTTCATCTGTTTTGTAAATAAACATGCTCCTTTTCAACAGTTCAGAATAAAGGGATGAGACAGCCCCTGGTTTACTCCTGAGCTAGCTGACCTCCTGCACAGGAGAGACCATCTTTGGGCCGCAGCGAGACATTCTGCCTCAGACACTGACGGGTTGCATTTTCAACAGTTGCAGAATAAAAGTACAGCTGACATTAGTCTCAAAACGTAACAACTTCTTATCTCAGACCTCCAAAGAACAAGGTCAAGGTGTCTTGTCATTCGCATCTCATGTGGTACATGTGGCGGAACGAAATTGTGTACTCAGGGTCCCAGTTACATCCAACAAAAGTATAAATTGTAAAATAAAAACAGTAATAAGATCTAAGATATGAACTAAGAATACACTAAACACTTAATAGTGCAAAAACAATAAGCCAAACAACAGCAGCACGAACATGAGTCCGTGAGCTGATGAGAAAGAATGAATACAGCAGCATAAAATAAATCAGCAGCATGAGATCAGCAGCATGGATAATCATCAGCACATATCAATAAGTATCATCACAGTGATTATTCTGGTTAGAGATTCATGAGTCTAACAGCCTCAGGGTAGAAGCTGTTCCTCAGTCTAGTGGTTCTACACTTAATGCTCCTCAACCTCCTTCCTGAGGGGAGCGGGGCAAAAAGTGTGTGCTGGGTGAGTGAGGTCCTTCATGATGCAGGTGGTCCTCTTCCTGCATCTGGAGGTGTAGATGTCTGTGATGGTGGGGAGGCTGACTCCAGCATCTTCTGTGCAGCCTTCACCACTCTCTGCAAAGCTTTTCTTTCTGCAGCTGTGCAGCCTCCATGCCACACGTTGATGCTGGAGCACAGGATGCTCTCCACTGCACACCTGTAGAAGGAGGTGAGGACAAAGATCTAAATGATCCTAAAAGATTCTGGAAAACCATTGGATCTCTCCGGCAGCTCTCATTCATCTGATCTGCCATCACAACTTCTTGTTAACTCTGTTCCTGTGTCAAATAAGCGCGAGATCCTGACTTCTGTTGTGACTCGAAGCAGATGGTCCTCTAGTCCTGATCCTGGTTCTGCTAAAGGTTTCTTCCTCATGAGGGAGTTTTTCTTTCCACTGTCGCCTTCATGCTTGTTCAAGATGAGAGTTAAACTCAAAGCTGCTCCTCAGATAAATAATGTTCAATTATTATTTTATATTTGAATGTTTCTGTTCAGTCCCTGAGACGACTTCTGTTGTGACTTGGAGCTGCAGAAATAAACTGAAGTGAATTGGCCTTGTTGCTGTTTAAGTGCTTTATAAGTAAAATGGTGTGGGGTTTTCTGCCAGGCGTTCCCAGCAAACCCTCACTACATGATTGGGTCTACCGGGTCTGTCGGGCATCTTCCCCCACCACCTGATCCAACTCGCTACAGGTGGTGATCAGCTGACAGCTGCTCTCTTCACCCGAGTGTCCAAAACAAACGGCTGCAGATCAGATGACTCGACTGCAAAGTCGATCATCGATCTACGACCTCGGGCGTCCTGGTGCCAAATGCACTTACCTGCTAATAAACTTTTAATGAATTTTAGTTTAAATTTTATACATTTTCTTCATCATTTCATGTATTTTCACTCATTGTCTGCATTTATTTTTGAATTTAGATGTATGGTTTTGTTACTTGAACACAGATTATTTCATTTTAGCTTTGATGTAAAGTTTAATTCTTGTTGTGTGATTTGCACGTGTGTGTTAGAATAAAGTTGAACTAAAGGCTGAATCTCTTCTTTAAACATGTTTGAGGGAAATATTCCTGAGATCCAATAACTGTCTTTTTATGATTCTTCAGCTGAGTTAACTTTAACAGATTATTTAATAAAGTCATTAAAGTGAAAACAGGATTTCATGATGGAACTGGCACTGTTTAATTATTTTAATCTTCACTGAAGAAAAAAATATTTTTTTTACATAATGTTTTAAAAAATAGTTTCCATCCACTGTCCCAGTCCGCTGGGATCGGGGTTCGGCCTTCATGAGCAGGCGAGGCCGGGGTCCGGACAAACACCTTCTGCGAGTCAGCAGCTCGTTTGATCCTCGGTGGTGACCAGCGGAGCTCGGAGCCGGGGACATGACGCCCTGCACGGCCTGAGGGCGCTCCGAAGCTCCGGTGAAGAGGACCGGCAGAGCTCCTTCACGCTCGCTCTGAACTTTGTCTTCAGCCACCAAACACAAAAAACACCTGCACTTCAGCGTTAGACCACGGTGTTGTCACTATTGTTTTATAAATCTTAAAAATGGGTCCAGCTGCTGCTCCGTGTTCCGAGTAATTGCACATGGTGGGTTGGTGTTTTGAAAAGTTTCTAAAAGATCCAGTGGCTCCGCCCCCTGACCAGTCAGTGGCCGACAGTGTTCTGACGTCACGTTTTGGTTCCGGCTTGGCTCGATTGGTCCCACCAGAGAAGCAGGGACCAAAAAAGGGTCTGGTTCTGTGAAAAAATGACAAATGTCTCAAAACCGTACCAAACCGAGCCGAACCGGGCTGAAGAGGAGCGGTGGAAAAGGGCTTTACACCGAGTTCCTTTTCTTTGGTCCATAGAAGTCTTCTGAATCACTCTTTGTCTGGCCTGTCACCAAGAGCCAATCTGCCTTGGGAGACCCTACCAGGGGCCATGGCCCCGGTCAGCTTAGCTCCTCGGACCATTCAGGCGCACAAACTCCACCACAATGAAGTGGAGACTCAAGGAGGTGTGAAAGAACCTGTGTGGGGCAACCTGTAGGAATGGTGGACGTTGGAGACGCAGTTTTAACGCTGATGTTTGGTTTTTTGTCCCTCAGTGTTTCCGTACCCGGTTCCTCCCATTGAAGAGAACGTCCTGGATGATGACAAAATGCTGAAACTGTGGGACTCCAACAAGGTAAAGCTTTTTATTCATTTTCTTGTTTTAGTCGGCTGATCCCGGCTGCTGCTGCAGATGACAAACACTTGAAAGTTCAGATGTTTTCATTTTCAAATGAAACTTGACGATTTCATGAAGCTGAGCTCTTCAGTTGAAACGTTGACATCACGGTGATAATCTGCAGTCGAGATAAAAACATGTCAAGCTGCTGTTTTGGTCACCATGGTAACCACGCTCTGTCGCTCCCTGATTGCCGAGCTGGTTCTGGTGTCAGACCGGTTGTAGGACCTGTCGGCTGTCGTTCAACAAACTGAATCTTGTTTTTTGTGTCTCAGCTGCCCATGTTGTCATCCAGACCCAAGTCCTGTGAAGTTCCAGGCATCAAGTAAGTGTGCCTCATCACAATTCAAATGAATTGAATTGAATTGAACTGGATTCATTGGATGTCATGGACAAATATAACTATCATCAGCATAACAATGAACATTTATCCCATGCTGTTTAATATTTTTACCTAATTGAAGCATATATAAGAGAGTATATGTCCAAGCACTGAACCCTGAGGAACTCCATGACTAAGTTTAGTGTATGATGAAGATCCATTATTTACATTTACAAATTGGAATCTATCAGATAAATATGGTTTAAACCAATTTAGAGCTGTTCCTGTAATTCCAGCATTATATTCAAGTCTCTGAAGTAAAATATTGTGATCAACTGTATCAAATGTGCAGCACGGTGGCACAACTGGTAGAGCTGCTGCCTCTCAGCGAGCAGGTCCCCGGTTCAAATCCAGGTCCGGAGGACTTTCTGGGTGGAGTTTGCATGTTCTCTCCGTGCATGCGTAAGTTTTCTCCAGGTACTCCAGTTTCCTCCCACAGACCAAAAGCATGCATGTTAGACTGATTGGTAACTCTAAACTGTCCCTAGGTGAGAGAGTGAATGGTTGTTTGTCTCATTTGTCTCTATGTGTCCCTGTGATGGACTGGAGACCTGTCCAGGGTGTACCCCGCCCCTCATACAGTGATTGATGGACATGGGCACCGGCGTCGCCTGTGATCCAAAATGGAAGAAGCGGGTAAAGATAATGGATGGATCAAATGCAGCACTGAGGTCTAACAGGACCAGTGTAGACACCTGTCCATTGTCTGAGGCCATGAGAATATCATTAGTGACATTCACCAGTGCAGATTCAGTGCATGTGGCGAGCTCTAAACCCTGACTGAAAGCCTTCAAAACAGATTATTTATTTGTAGATGATCACATAACTGACCTGCAACTATTTTCTCTAGAATTTTTGAGATGAAAGTTAGATTAGATATAGATCTGTTGTTGACTAGGATTCCTGAGACAAGGTTATGTTTCTTAAGTAAAGGTTTAATAATAATAATAATAATAATAATACATTGTATTTGTAGGTGCCATTCTTGGCACTCAAGGTCACCTTACATAGTCAAGCCTAAAAACAGACACAATATTATACACACAGTAAAAACGAGTAAAAGAATAGAATTGAAATAAGAGTGCAGTTGCAATCACAGTGCGTAGGCTACTTTAGACTGATGAGTTTGGATTTGAAATGTGGCAATGAGTCTGTTGTGAATATCAGGTGGGAGTGAGTCCCAGAGCAGCTGAATACTCTGCTCCCCATAGTTACAAGAAGGGCAAGGGGAACAATGAGCTGAATGGAAGAAGAGGATCTGAGGGTACGAGCGGGTGTAGCAATGTGACGAAGGTCTGAAAGGTATGGAGGAGCGAGGTTATGGACAGCCTTGAAGATAAGGAGGAGTATTTTGTTGTTGATGTTTAATTACTGCAATCTTAAAGCTCTGTGGTACGTAATCATTCATTAGAGACAAATTAAGCAGAGACAAATTAAGCAGATCCAAGTCGCGGTTATTAATTAAGGGAAATACCTCTCTAAACAGTCTGGTTGGGATGGGATCTAGCAGGCATGTGGATGGTTTGGATGAGGTTATTATTTTTGACAATTCAGAGCTCAACAGGACAAAAACTGTCCAAACATAAATCAGGCTCTAGTGACGTTTTTAAAGTTGTCTCACTTGACACAGAACCAGAGGCAATAGTAGGAATGTTGGTTTGAATTTTCTCTAATTGAAATAATTTTATCTATAAAGAATCTCATGAAGTCATCACTACTTATAGTTGTAGGGATACATGGTTCAACAGAAATGGGACTTTTAATTAGTCTAGCAATAGTACTAAACAGAAACCTAGGGTTATTTTTATTCTCCTCTATTAAAGATGAGTAATATAAAGTTCTAGCTTTACGGAGAGCTTTTTTATATGTTAGCAGACTATCTTTCCAAGTTAAATAAAATTCTTCAACATTAGTAGAGCGCCATTTTCTCTCCTGGTTTCTAGATGCTGCTTTAAAGTACGTAACTCAGAATTGAACCAAGGAGCCAGTTTCCTCTGATTGATTACTTTCTTTTTCAGTGGAGCAATTTTATCAAGTGAAGTTTGCATTGAAGTTGTAAGATGATCAACTAGATGATCTAAGTCTCTGTTCTCTGATGCATTACTCTGCAAGACAGAGGAAACATTGATGGAAGAGATTGTTTCAATTTGGTTACAGCATTTTCTGATAAGCACCTGCTGAGATGAAATTTACTCTCAGTGACTGTGTAGTCATTTAATGTAAACTCAAAGGTTATTAAAAAATGGTTGGACAGAACAGGATTTTGAGGAACTATTACTAAGTCTTTAATCTCTACACCATAGGTCAGAACTAAATCAAGAGTGTGATGATAAGAATGAGTAGATGTGCGGACGTTTTGGGTAAAACCAAATGACTCTATTAAATTATTAAAGGCTATGATTAAACTATCACTCTCAACATCTACATGAATATTGAAATCACCCATTATGATGATTTTATCAGTATTTAATAATAAGTCAGTTAATAATTCTGAGAATTCTGACATAAACTGGTCATAGGAGCTGGTGGACGATAAATAACAACTAGTAAAAGTGGTCGTTCTGATTTCCATTTGGGATGGGACATAGAGACAGTGACTCAAAAGTTTTATAACTAATAATTGGTTTAGTATTAATCAATAATCCTGATTGAAAAATAGAAGCTACTCCTCCACCTCGGCCAGTTGTTCTAGGAACATGAACATTTAAATAATTAACAGGAGTGGATTCATTTATACCAACAAAATCCTCCTGTTGTAGCCAAGTTTCTGTCAGACACAATAAATCAATATGATGATCAGTTATCAGTTCATTAACTAACGGGGATTTAGAGGAAAGAGACGCAGCACTCTGCTGGTTCTTCTGCTGCAGACTTGTCGCTCAGCAGTCCGTCATCTCAAACTTCTGTTTTCTCCACAGCATCTTTACGTCTCCTGAGCAGCCGTCCACTCCAGTTCAAGGCGTCCCCCTTGTCCCCAGCACCGGCGGTTCGCTGCCGGACCTGTCCATCCTCCACTTCCCCTCCCCGCTGCCCACGCCGCTGGACCAGGACGAGCCCGGTTACCCAGGATCCTCTGCTCTGAGCGGGGGCAGCAGCACTGGAAACCTAGCCTCCACTCTCACCCAGCTGGGCATTAACAGCACCAACCAATCAGGAGGCAGTGGGAGCTTCCAGCAGCACACACCTGGTACTGGTCTCTTTACTGGCCACCAGAACACAACCGGTACTGGTCCATTTACTGACCCTGGACTGACCTGGGTCTGAGTTGGTCCAGGTCCGGGTGTATAAAATCCAGTTTGTGTTTGTTTGTTTAGGTTTCCTCGTTAAAAGAATGGTTTCCTGTAAAAGTGAGCAAGAGCAAACAGGAAGTGAGTCTGTCTGATGAACAGAACCGGGTCAGACCGACAGGTTCTGCTCATCATCTTCACGCCAGTGTTCTGTGCAGTTTGAGTCCCCATGTCTCAGTAAGACTAGAACAGATCCAGAAGTGTGCTGATCCTCTGGCTCTGTCGCACACTTCATGTTTCTCCAGCGCTGCTCCTGGACCCAAATGGGCTCAGCTGGTCCAAAGTCTGGATCCAGGTTTTAAGGCTCCCTCCTTGTTTCCTGCTGGGAGCCAGGAGTTTAGGTCCAGGCCAGACCTCGTGCAGATACGGATCAGGCACTGATCTGGGTCAGACTTCAGCAGAACGAACCCAGAACCTTTAGCCTGTAGCTAGTGTAGCTGTAGCTACAGGAAGCAAGACACTAGCTGTAGCTAGTGTTCTGCTTCCTGTAGCTACAGGAAGCAGAACACTAGCTACAGGAAGCAGAACACTAGCTACAGGAAGCAGAACACTAGCTACAGGAAGCAGGACACTAGCTACAGGAAGCTGAACACTAGCTACAGGAAGCAGGACATTAGCTACAGGAAGCAGAACACTAGCTACAGGAAGCTGAACACTAGCTACAGGAAGCAGGACACTAGCTACAGGAAGCAGGACACTAGCTACAGGAAGCTGAACACTAGCTACAGGAAGCAGATCACTAGCTACAGGAAGCTGAACACTAGCTACAGGAAGCAGGACACTAGCTACAGGAAGCAGGACACTAGCTACAGGAAGCAGGACACTAGCTACAGGAAGCAGGACACTAGCTACAGGAAGCAGAACACTAGCTACAGGAAGCTGAACACTAGCTACAGGAAGCAGGACACTAGCTACAGGAAGCAGAACACTAGCTACAGGAAGCAGAACACTAGCTACAGGAAGCTGAACACTAGCTACAGGAAGCAGGACATAAGCTACAAAAAGCAGAACACTAGCTACAGGAAGCAGAACACTAGCTACAGGAAGCAGAACACTAGCTACAGGAAGCAGGACATTAGCTACAAAAAGCAGGACACTAGCTACAGGAAGCAGGACACTAGCTGATTTTAGAGCTCAGCATTGGCTAGATTTTTGCAGACGTCGTCACTTCTCCTGTCTCTAATGTGCTTTGGCTGCTGTGTGGACTTGAGGCCTGTTCTGGTTCTGCTGTTTTTTGTTCGGCGTGTTGTCGACGTGTTGATGCAAAGCGTTGAGCCTGCGTCAGGTGAACTCTGGCGGTTAATGCAGGAAGTGTGTGGGTGACGCTGGTCGACATGAAACAGGGAGGCGTCTGTCGGCGAGCTGAATGTAATTTACCCTCAGAGGTTTTTCACACGAGGAGCTCAGTTTTTAGTTTCTGTTCGGTTGGAAGAAGGAAACGTTTTATCGGTGGTGAGGTGAGTGGAGCGACCACAGGCAGGAAACTGCTCAGCTGCAGCGCCCAGTCCGCCCCCTCAGACCTGATCCCGGATCAGTTTTCTGTTCTCTGTGAGGCTGATGGACAGATGGGACGAGGACGAGGAGGCCAGTTTTTGGAGTCTTTCGTTCACTTTATAAAACTGTTCAGACTTGTGGGTTCTCATTGGATGAAGAACTAACTTTTCAAAGTAAAATTACTGGTTTCCGAACATTAAACAATACAACAGTTGAATTTAAAATGACAGCTTGTTTAAATGTATAAAATCTGTTTCTCACTGGTTCTTCTCTCTCCTCAGGACTCATGGCGTCTCTACAGAGCACGCTCAGTAACCCCAACCTGCAGTCGTCACTGAGCAACCCCAACATCCAGTCGTCGCTCAGCAGCCACTCCTTCTCTAATTCTCTAAGCTCCGCCTCCCTGCAATCATCGCTCAGCAATCCATCGCTTCAGTCATCGCTCAGCTCCTCCCCCTCCATGCAGTCCTCCCTCAGCAACCAGTCGCTGCACTCATCCCTGAGTAACTCCTCCCTCCAGTCAGGCAGTAACTCCAGCTACAGCGGTGGAATGGGTGGGGCTGGATCAGGCTCCTCCTCCTACACACAGTTGCTCACCAGTCAGGGCCAAACATCACTCAGCACATCGCCACGGAGACGAGCCCAGCTCTCACCGCTCATCCTGCCCATGGGGGCGGAGCCACGGAGGCATCACTCCAAACAGTTCTCCCCCACCATTTCCCCCACTCTGTCCTCCATCTCACAGGTGAGGAACACACCGGGTGTCCAAAGATCAGATGCTGGCATTCATCTACCTGCAGTTTTGATGAACAGAGAACTCGATCCTAAATAATTAACATATTATTTTGTTATCCTGAGCTGTAAACAACCAAACAAAACATAAATTATTACAACTTGTTGTAAAGCTGGTCTGATCAGCCATGTTTGTTCTGTCATTTAAAACCAAATTTACTGAAAAACCTTCATTAAGAGGATGGATTGATGGATGATTGTTGGATGGATGATTATGGTTGGATGATTAATAGATGGATGATTATGGATAGATTGATGAATGAATGAATGATGATGGATGGATAATTGTTGTATGGATAGATGGACTGATGATTGATGGATGGATGGATGATGGACGGCCTGATTGAGTGATTGATTAGACAGCAGCTTACACTGCCTGGCCAAAAAAAAAGTCTCCACCTGGATTTAACTAAGGTCCGAGCCTCCTGCTGGATTTAACTAAGGTC